CCCCAAAACCCCAAAACCCCAAAACCCCAAAACCCCACAGAACTTAATTCAAATTGAAGATAACACAAATGTAAACTACAAAATAGAAATTAGATTACAGCATGAAGAGTTCTTTCGAAGACTCAACAGTTTCACCGAAGTCGAGTGTGTGCTTCTTGCCGAGAATCTCGAAGGTCTTGCCTTTGAAAGCCAGCGTAAAGTCCTGTTTCTTAGGGTAGTACTGTGCAATGTCTTCAAGTTTGTTCCTGACGATCTTGGTACCGAGTTTCTTACGTTTACTATCAGTGTCAGCTTCACAGCGGGACCCTTTCTCAATGACCCACAGGATGAAATTTTGAATTTTGCCAACATTGACAATGTTAGAGTATTCATCTTTGGATTTGCATTCATCAACCTCTTCTTTAATATCAGTTATCTCACTCTTTAAAGTCATTTCCTTTATCTTTGAATCTTCTGTTTCTGTTTTCTCTTCTTTCACTCGACCTTTCTTATCTTTAGCTTTCACTTCTTTTTCGTCAATTCCCTCATCTTTTTCTTTCTCTTTAAATCTTTTATTCTTGGGAGTTCCATTTTGGTCTTTCTTCTGAGTTTCTTTCGGACTCTCGATTTCAGACATATCTTCCTCAGACATATCTTCCTCAGATGTCCTTTTCATAGGCGACTCTATCCCAGATGTGTCCTCCTCAGATCCCTTTTCCACTGGTGTCTCTACCCCAGACATTACTTCCTCAGACGACCTTTGCATAGGCGCCTCTACCCCAGACATCTCTCCCTCAGACATATCTTCATCGGAATCTTTATTCTTATCTTTCTCTATGTCTTTTTCAGATTCATTGCTGTTTTCAACTTTGCATTTGAGCTTTAGGTCCCTTTTCTTTATCTTCTCTACTTGAAGAGGTTCTGAGAGGTCGAGAGTTTCAGGGGATACCTTTTGGATGTTTTCAATGACCTTTAGAATATCTTTAGGAGCCTTAGGGTTAAAGTTTATTTTAGGCCTGTGCTCCTCCATGAGCCTTCTCTTCTCCCCTGCAAACAGATTCCGCTTATAGCCTGACTTTACAGCAGATTCCTTCTTGGGTCTAAGAGCTTTAGGAAGTTTGATGAACTCCATTGGAGGGACCTTGCTTTCGTTAAGTTTCCTCTCTTTATCCAATTCAGTGATGTATTGGGTGACCCTCTCTGTAAACTTGTCTACATATTTCTTCTGGATTTCTGCTTTATCCTGAACATGCTTAATTAGGTTTTCATAAATGTTGATGATTTTGCTCTTCTTCTTACTCTTAGCGATCTGAGGCCAATCTTCTTTAGGAAATGTTCCACCTTCTCCATCAAAGAGATCGAGGAAGAATGACTTTGTACAATCATCTGTGTTCTCTTCTTCATCGTCCTCTAGGTCGTAGTGGGCTTTGATGTTAATTATTGTATTTGCCGCGTCAGATTCTACCTTTGTGTCATATACTGACTTAAATGATGGAGGACTGAACCACGTTTTCTTCTCCTTCTTACAGATCTTAATACCGGATTTAAGAGTTTTAAATTTGTAGTGCAAAATACTGGTTCTGAGATCAGCTTCTTCGAATAAATTTCTGGTATGCTCCTTAGGTGTCTCTTTTTCTTCCTCTTTAATCATCAAGCCATGCTTTTCTTTATACTTCTTCATATCGGTCTTGCTGAAATCATTAATATGAAGCACAAGCTCTATTCCTGCGTAGGAATACTGTATATCTTCTATCGGTCTGGTCAAAGGTTTACTATGCCCTTTCTTGGCTGACTCTTTGTCCTCAATCTCAGTGACTACTTCGATGCCAGTCAGACCTTCCTTCTTTTTCATTTCCTCTTTCTCTCGTAATGAAGTAGCATCTAATTCGAGATAATTCATCTTAATTTCTGCCTTTTTGACTTTCATGCAAACATCTGGTTCTATTCTGAACTCTTTCTTATCGAGAAAGGATTTCTTACTGAAAACTGCAGGCATTATATGGTGGCTGTCAGTGACTAGGATGTAGAAGGGATTCACCTCAACTATTTTTAGGAACACATTCTTGACTTCGTTCCTCTGCTTCTCTTCTTCAAGAAACAGGCAAGCTGCATCTTTGAGGATTAGATCTTTTTTAGACATTTCAATCTTTATGATTTGGCTAGGGGTTTTGGGGTTTTGGGGTTTTGGGGTTTTGGGG